ATATATCAATTTTGTTATCGAGGCACCATCATCTTTAATATCGATATAAAGTTTGGAAGACGTATTGGATACTGAAACGAAAACGAAAATTCTATATAGAGTCGATGAGATAACCTGCGCCTGCAATAGGTACCCAAATGGAATAGTAGAATAATATGAAACTCTYGCCACTCGTCTGCCCGAATACATTACATATAAAAGACAAATTTAGGATACACCCACGTTCACAAAAAGGACGAGGGTATATTATTATTATTATTATTATTATCATTCTCACCGTGAGTGCAGTGGCAACGACGAAAAGGATTTATATATGTACGTACACTCGAATATGTTATGTACGCGAGCAGCATCGGCCCACTGTCGCGGATCGTCGGCCCAGAGGATTCGGCTCAGCGGGTGTGTGAGTGTGTCGACTACGAGAAGAGTCACCCGACGGGGAGCCGTGCACCGACCACTGTAGTTATTGTACCAGTGTCGTGTAAAATGATAATAATAATAATAATAATACACACAAAAACGAGCGTTGTGAGAAGGTCGAGCTAGGGAGTAGAGAAAAATAAGACGTGTCACAATTCTCGGGATTCATATATTATACGATTATTATAATATTATGTGTAGTGCGCGTACGGACGTGCGATAGCGCGCACAGACAAGTCGCTATATATGCGTGCGAGCAAACGGAAGCCAGATTACTACATACCACGCGGTTACGTCGGGTATATACCGCGCGGTTGCTGCAGCCGTCGAGCAACATGGTATATTATTATATTTACGAACACGTCTTGTGCACGAGAATTTTGAGGTTTTCGGTGAGAACGCTTGTTGATTTATAATTTATGTGGGTACTMTATTTCGGGTCGGATAAATTCGTAGGGTGTCGAGGGTTTGGAAAGGGGTCCCACTGAAATTCCGTCTGACATCGAACAGTGGCCCTCGTCGTTTTGTGCATCGGACTAAAATTGTCCAGTTCGCATACACTTCAGTCACCCTTAAAATTATATGACGTCATCATTATTATCGCGTGTCGCTCATTGTTAACATTATAACGCACGCAGGCGATTTTATAACATTTAAGGTACTTGTAATATTTTCAGTAACGCTCGCCCATCACTTTATTATACATTTTTTATATTGTAATTTCTATAGTAATTAATGCGGGCATCGAAACCAGTGGTTTTTTTTTTACCCTGTAACATTCGTTTCGGTGTTCCATCGAAAAACGAGTATTTTAGTCGGTTTTTTTTTTCGTTGTTTTCGAACTCTTTTGATGCCGCGTAGCGTCTTTTACAATATTTTATTACGTTCTGTATAATATAATATTATTATTATACATATACGTTGTATGCATCACGCAGACATAACATAAAACTATGAATGTGTATGTACGATTGTCTACGCGTGTGCGTGTTTTTTAATTACCGTTTTTTATTGTCGCGTCTTATTCATAATATTAATATAATATAAAATTGGTAGATTGGTTGTGTAAATTCCTGTATATATTATTATTTATTTATTTATTTATTTTTTTTTTGTTCGATTATATCATCGAAAATATAATGACGTTTTAAATATTATGATCCGATCTATAGACTATAATTAATGTACGTTGTATACGTTTCGTCGTGCGCTGTGCTAGCTGTAGCAATATTTACAGAGATTCCAGTCTGTCGTAARAACATATTTAAAGCGTGCTAATTTGCCACGATAGAATCGTGTATAAACGTACTTAACTACTTAAGTACAAGTGTGCATTGCCTGTGGATATAGGATATACCTTTAACATATTATTATCATTTATAAATTACAATTTTTACGTTGTCGACGTACGCACCCTTATGGGCGATCCGATGTCGATCGCCACTGCAGTATAGCCGTATATAGGTACTGTTTATCATAGAGTTGCACTTATTGTAAGCTATATTTTGCAGTGTTCATGTATTGTTTTGCATATTTTTAAGAACTTCTGTAATCACGATAGGCACCCATGGCTGTGTATCGGCGCTCTGAAATGTATTTTTCTATTAACTTAATGGCGGTCGAATAACACATATTTCTTGCCGGTGCAATATCGAAAATCGTCGCATTGCGGTTCCATATCKCTTCGAGTATTCTACACTCGTACAGTGTGCCTATTTATTATTAATAATCGACCGTAAATCGCATCACAATATTCTACACAATAATTAAAATTTTAATCCGACGCGTTTATCTCACGTTAAATAGAATACTTATACCGAAAAGCGCCGTCACTTGCTTTCACATTACGACGTAGGTATACAAGTAATTAGGTATACATCATCGTGTAAACCCATAAGCGTGCGCACAGGTGCTGCAGCTCATCGAGGGTCGGTCAAGAAGAACTATAGGGACACCTGCATCTATATAGTTTGAGAAGTTAACTTTTTTTTTTTTTTTGTTACACAATTTCTAATAAAATGTGTAGCCAGAATTGAACGTTCCATGTATCAAAATGATAGTATTATAAACAAAAGCAATAATTATTTTCTTTTATGTTCAACAACCCATAATCATAAAATTATACCTATGTAAAATTATTTTTCAATTACGTGTTTTTATAAATGATATTTTCGTATTGAAGTTAATAGAGGTAGAGGTAGGCAGATAGTAAAAGGGCCTATAATATTAAATTGCATGACGAATTTGTAAACCGGGGACTGTATATATAGTGCAATATTCCTACCTAAACAATAGCAACGGTATTAAACCAATGAAATATACTTATAATATTAATAGATATTTTATAGTGTTCATAGTATAATATTTAATTATAAAATCAAATATTTATTATTCATAGACATTATTAGTTATAATCTTGTGATGGGCTKTTTGTATGGAAAAATGTGTCGGTAAAATTATAGCTGCAGTTCGCTGCGTCTGACTTGAAACTCTCAACTCTTATATATTTTTATATATATTATGTAGGTACTTCGGTTTACTAATAATACCAYGACGGACACTATATTATTATTATCATGTTTCGTTGCGGTAGGTGTATATAAATACCCTGCATGCGTATTAGGTACTATACATATATGATAATAAATATAGACGCGTACCATTAAGACGCTGCCGTGTAGTGCGATATCTATGACGTGAAACTCAATAATGACGAAATCCTCCGGAGGACCAGAGAAATTATATCATTTCGGGTAACGACAATGATGATTACTTATATWTAATACAGTGTACTTAGGACGCGGAAGCGCGCGCGTCTATGGAACGATAAACAGCTGATGACTTAATTATCGAGCGCGTATATGTAATTTATAAAGAAAAAKWAAAGAGTTAAGTTTTTTTTTCTTTTAGATACTTCGTATAAACACATCACGGCCGTAGCCCGTAGTTAAGTGCCTATACGTATTGTAGGTACTTAAAATTATGTACATATTCATAATAATGTTATGATATCGCGCAGTAAATACGACTCTCGGCAGGTATATTTAGGTAYATAAGCAMTGCAGCGTATTAAATACACGCCCGCTGGGGTATACCAATGCACCTATATACCTATACGTATAATACAATGCAGTTAGGTTGCTTCCCTCGGAATCGTTATCTATTCTGGTAGGTACTCTATATTGGAGTTATTTTCACCCAAAGTAAATATTTGATACACATGTAGTCGTTATTGTGAGTGCAAATATTTTTACTTTACTCGTATATACAGGTGACTGTCCTGTTTCGCGATTGTAAACCAACATTTTTAAATTATGAATTTCTTGAAAATCGTCAAAATCCCGACGAATGCCACAGATGAGTGATAGACTATCATGTATAGTCTATATATCTACTTCGAAAATATATACTTATATTAC